TAAAGAGTTTTCCTTGGATGTATAGAATCTTGCCTCAAATGATTGACTATCCCTGCTACTTGCAAACCAGCAGGCAGTCTGCTGGCCAATTTACCTGAATATTTTCTCAAGTACAGTAGTTTTGCACAATTATTCTACCGTGGTGGTTCTGCTGCTTATGTAAAAGGTCATATAACATGAAAAATGACAGAATCTGACATACTTTTCTCATACTCAAGTGGTATTTTTTCAAGTGGAACAACGGTAACTTAGTGAACTAATCACTGCTCTTTGACATACACATAGTCATAGTCATAGGCAGTGAAATAATATTAAAAAAGGCACTGAATGTCCCTTGCAGTGGAGCATGGTTAGCACTTTTAGCTTTGGTTTTAGAACAATTTTAAAAAAAAATTAGGTCAGAAATTGCATCAGCTAGAGTTTTGAAATTCTATCTTAGTCCACTAGATGGTGATCCCTGTAAATCACAATTCATGTAGCTAAACAAGACTCAGGACATCAGCCGTAAAAAATCCACATTCTTTTATGCAAAATAGAAAACTGGGTTACAATATGACATGGTTTGCATCATAAACCTATATAAACAAATTCCAGAATAAGGTTGAGAAATTGCTTGACCGTTTGACTGGACCGTGCCCTTAGTATCACATTAATAGGACTACTGAGATCCAGTCACCAAGAAAACTGAAATTGATCTTACTCTTTTCTCACCACAAATCAGTTTGGGACATCCAAGCTGCAAACTCCTTTTGGAAGCTCATAATGAAAACTACAGTAAGGCACTATGATTATTTGAGACTACCTTCACCGCACATACATTTAAGCATATTTGTTTTGCTGTACATTGTGCATAAAATTCCATATGTAATCAACATAAAACAAAGGCTTGAGATGCGGTAATAGAAATGTTTTATTAATCAAATATATTTACATTTCTTTGTCTTCTTTTTAAATGTGTGCCTGTTATTTTCATTTAAACACAATGTAGTCTTTACAGTTGATATCACATGAATACAGCTACATGCATGACTTACTTGGTCCTTTGCAGTAAAAAAAATTGCAATTTTATGAAGTTTAAAAAATGCAAGCAAGCTGTTTAACTTTTTAATTACAGTGTCATTATTATTTTTATTACAACAGAGGACCCCTTCAGCATACGCTACATCTATTGGGTGGATTTATGCACTTTTTGAAATCAGCTTTATGATATCAGAACTTCCAAAATCTAGACAAAATATAAGAAAACTACTTCATGCAGTCCCAGAATATTTTATTTTCTGGAATCTTATCCCCAGAATGGACTTGGATGGAACAGAAGAGTGCTCTAACTGTAATTTAAAAACAAAACAAAACCATAGCAATTGATGACTCTCAAAAGCAATGAGGACTACTTTTGAACTTTTGCCTATTTATTCATCTGAAACCACATAATTTTATCATTTATCAGACAGCATCACATAACTTAATGGCACCATATAAATAATAAATAGCAATTAAAAGGAGAGATGATGTTACCAAAAGAAGAGATAGACACATCATTTCTTTCTAGTATGTAATGTGCTGTAATTATTACATTATTTCCTACTTAGCTTTCTTTCATGGGAAGACAATCATATTGTATTAAAAAAGATCATAATTGGGGTCTATAACTGCAGGTTCACAAATGACCTAATGTTTTTCCAAAAGGAATAACTCCAGGAATATAAAAAATTTACTTCCCCACTAAAAATAAAAAATAATTAGAAGTAGGCACAGTTTTAAATACGACTTCCAATGTGTTTGGGGTTGGTCAAAAAAAAAAAAATGAAAACACCAAACTTGTATGTATTTACCAGCATAAAAAAACAGATGCCAAGAGCTTCAGAAATTCTGAAATGGCAGGCACATAATCACTACATTTAAAGATAATTGTACTAGACTTACTGCTTCAGTTTACTGTGTGCAAACACATACTGTATTCATAACAGACCTAAATGTATGGGTTTTTCTGAATACATGAACAGCAACTCACTCAGCATTTGGGCACTCAGACAGGAACTGGATTCTGCTTAGTCCAAACGAAGGACGTATTTTAGCTTGTCCGTGTTAGTTTTACATTTGCTATATTGCAACAAAATGCCAAAAGTTGTGAGAAAAAAACCACTATGAAATCATGGGTTTTCACTGAATTGCTTTTGTATGCTGCCAAACCTGTTGTGAAAGTTTTATGTATAAAATAATACAATAACTGCAATTGTGCTTAGGCGTTTGGCACAACATAGTGATTTACATGAGAAAGAACTATTTGGAAGAAAAGAAGTAAGTTCTGCAGAAATCTTACCGTGGTGCACTTTCTAAAAAATCCAGTAAAATCTTGAAATAATTGATTTTTATCTCATGCCCATTCAGGAGAATACTTAGACACACGTTTAATTAAAAACATATGAGTAGGCCTATCTGTATTCAGCAGGGAACTTGTAATATCTGTAATCACATACTTGCTTTCTATACAAATCCCTCTCTGCAGGAGGCTGAGTGCTCTGCACTACCACTAACCACATCCCTGAGCAGGAGAGCAGTTAGAGAATGCAACAGCACGAGTGAGTGATCTAACAGATAGGACACATTTGCTTTTCAGAGCATGACATATCTCTTTTCCCACTTATTTGATTTATAGATTTCTGCTTGCTTTTTCCTTTTTTCCTAATATCTACTTGCTCACAGAAATAATCTAGAGCTGCTGTTCAAATGTTAAATAAAAGCTGGTGCCCCACCAACATGTTACTTTACATTAAGTCTCTTACATAAGGGAAGATGTGAACTGCCATCCATGAGGGTCTGAGAGGTTTGGTATCGGATTTTGGTTTTTTCTCTTTGATTAGCCTTGCTAGGAAAAAAACAATGTTCAAATAGTCACCTTTAAGTTACAGTTCTTCCTACCCAGCTTCCCATGCTTCTTTGAACCTAAAAAAAAAAAAAACACAAACGAACAGACTGATACATCTATATAGTAACTGAGAATCTCTCATAGTTTGCAGGATAAAATCAGGCAATGACAGAATTGCTAATTCCCCATAATTCTGCAGCAGAAAATGGAGCTGAAAAATTTGCAGGGCTGAAGTTTCCTTATGAGATTATCTGGTACTTGCTAGAACAATGATAAAAAAAAAAATCTTTTTTCAACAATATTTTGCATTTTTAATGGCCAAACACAAATACAATAACTCCTGAAGTAATTCCTTGCAAATCTTTGGAAACTCCAGATTCTGCAGTGTAGTTTCTGCAATAAAAAAAAATAAATCTTGAAGAATGTCTTAGATTTTAAATTCTTTTAAAATATATTTAAATTTTACTGTATGCTCTTTTTCTGCTTTTTTAACTGTATGCGCTTTTCAAAATTGATAAATGATCTGAACCTGTTACTAAATTTGTAGCTGATTCTGTCTAGCCCTTTACAGAATTTGATACTTAATTCTCTACATACTTAAAATCATCCCCATAAATGTTTTTAAAATATTTAATATAGTCAGCTGAGCCCTTATGAACCACCTAGCATTTCAGTTTTGGTGCAAAACTGAATCTGTTTTAATCCCCATAATCTCCACAAATTTATTTTGCAGTTTACCTTATGATATAGCATGACATCAGAACCATGCTGTTTGTGGTATTGTCTTTTTTTCTGTTTAGGTTTTTTTTTGTTTTTTTAATATATTTTTAGCAAACTACAGCTCTAGCATTGAGACAATCAATATATAAACACTGCTGGTCTCTAAAAGTGAAAACCATTCTTTGATTAGACAAAGCCATGAATCTGAAATACATCAAGGACAAAAGCTTGAAAAAAAGCCAATATGGAAATTGTTAAATTGAACCAAGGTAGAGACATCTGAGACTTTTACATTGATGTTGGGAACATCTTGGCTTCCTTTCATTCACGACTGTACCAGGCATATTTCTGTGAAGTGAATACTATGAAACCTCCAAGCCATTTACAAAGTATCTGAGTTCAGATTTAGCTTTTGTTTTGAAGCTCAGTCCAAGTATGTTGAAAGTTTCATCTAATACAGGAGCATTTTCAATTTGATCCAAACCAACAGAGTAAAAATATCAATGGCCTACAGCTTGAATTTCTGATCATTTTTCCTAGAAATCAGCAAGCCATTAAATCACCCGAACAAAAAACATCTTGGTTATTGCTCCTCAAAATGAAATTTACAAGTAGACTGGAATCTTAGACATTTAAAATACTTTCTACCGCCTCTGTCTTTCATAGCTATTAGACTGAACTTGAGAGCTCTATTAGTTTAACATAGTTTTCCTACTGGTCTCTTCATATAACATATATTTGCAGGTATGTAACTTTTTTTTTCTCATTTTCTTTTTCCAGAATATCTATGCCATCACAATGCTGTTGAACGAAACTACGTGCATGAAAAAGTGCACACAGTGTGAGGCATGAGACTGTGGAAATGAAATGCCCTTTGGTCTGAGGAGGCTGACACTGACCCAGATACAGCTCTTGATCACTTCCCGCCCCACACAGCAATTTCTATTACAGCCGTGTCAAGATCAACTTAGCCCAGCCCAGCCAAATGTATGGATTACATCTGGGTCTTTTGAGTCATGCTACAAGAAAAGGTGCAACAATAAGCAAGTCCATGTGCATTCTCAGTCACAACTATGGGCGGAAGAACCCTTGAGATTCCTCACTTTGGCATTAAATAACAATTATAAAGGCTTTTAGAATTAAAGCAATACATGGTAGGACTTGCAATGTTAACAGTCCAAGGTAACTTGTCAATTGAAATAAGACTCATCCCTAGTCATAAATAAATAATCTCTTTCCTGGTCTCACTTCCACGCCAGGATCAATATCTTTTAACATCTTACTTATTTTATTACTGCTTTTGGTTTTCTGGGGCTGATTGAAAGTTGCTCAGAGGAAATCTTTGGTTTTGCTTAAGTGTCCGTGACATTTAATCATGACTTTCCTTGCAGTTTAATTCCAACCAGTCAATCAGTTAATCCACTTCAATTGATTCTGTGCTCTCTGTTATTGGCTTGCACTCATTGGGCATCCTCTGGTGTCGACTCAGCTGGGTGGCTTGTGTGAAGCTCCTCTCACACCTCTCGCACCTGGTGAAGGCAAGAGAGAAAATTGAGACCAGGGAGCTGCTCTGGGGGGGGTGATGGGCTTTGTCTCATCCTGCCTAATCAGAACAGACACTCAAAAGTGGCTTCAGATTTTACTGGCTCAAGAGGTTTAATTGGTCGCTACTTCCAAGGCCTTGATGCCTATGATGGGACAAGGCCTGTCTGATTCAGAACAGAGGAATCTGTCAATAGACAGGGGGAAGGTGATTTCTCCAGAGAGGCCTGTCCTGCTGTAGCTCTGATCACTGTCAGTTCAAATAGATAAAGAACAAAAAGAGATTTTTAGGAGTGAGCCATCAAAGAAGCAGCTTGTCTGCAGTTTTCTGCTCTGTAACCCCTAGGAGAAATTGATGACAAATAGAATTTCACTTTCTGCTAATTTAAAATCCACAATTGCCTATTGGAGGAAGAGAAATCACAAAGCAATAATTGTTCAGTGCCAGAACAAGAGAGAAAACTTTGTTTATTTGATCTGACTATGCAGTGGGGTTTATTTTAAACAGGCACATAGAGTTAATGATTACTTAATTATCTGAAAACATCCACACTATTTGAGAAATCTGTGTGTTGAGCAAGAACTCATAAAAGTCACAAGTGTTTGCTTCACTGTCTTTTATGTCTCTCTTTCTGCCCTGTCCTTACTTTAGAGAACCATAGTCTACATTAAAAATAACACAAACAAATGAACAAAGCCATCGAATTTTGGAAGGAGTAGGACTGGCCTTATTGTTGGCTTGCAGTGAATCCCCTATCTATGCCCTGAAAGAGAATATATTGTATTTAATCTCCCAAATACTGCCCTCTTAAATTGCATTCAGAACATTAGATAGGAGTGTTTGCTGAGTTGCAAGTACAAATGCAGCAGATTTTTCTTGCATGGCACTCACTCCAAAAAACACCTTTGATTTAATGCTGCTGTATGATGTTTTATCTTCAAAGAAGATTATCATAAAAGCATCACTACGGTGAATTCTTCACCTTCAAAGGAGAAGTGAAGAAAACAAAGGGCTCAGCTAATTCATATTCATCTTTCTCTCTTCACTGATGTGAATGATAGAAAGTGAACTGTCACTGATCTGGCCATTTATGAAAACCCAAAAAAAACCAACCCCCAAAACCCCCCAAAATCCCAATACAACAAAAAACAGAGAAAAGAAAGATATTTATATGTATGCATAATTATGGAATATTCTTCACATTGGTAGTTTTTAGTAAGAAAGTTCTGCTTCAGGAGTATTTAGCACATACATTACAGAGTCATTCATCCAAACTACCGTACCAGTCTAAAATGTCAACATTTTTAAGTTGTGTTTCTCTGATTGTCTTTCATGGAATATTTTTAGCAGCCTGTTCCACTATTAAAAACTGCACTGTGATCTTGACAAATGTAAAATGTCAGCTTTAATGTATCAGACCTATCAGCTCAATGAAAATAACTCAGAAGTATTGATTACTTAATGATTTTTAGGGTATTCATTAACGTCTAAGTGCAGATCATCTGCTCTCCAGAGCTCCTGAAGTGCTGATGACACATTAGTGTACTGCTGATTGTTTATTAGAAAACTGATTAGTTACTGGATTAGTGTGTCAAAATATACTACCTTTCATTTCCTGACAAACTTGCAAATTATTGTATTATTTTTATATATATATATATATCACAGAGGCATTAGAATCAATTTTAAGGCTGGGGGGGGTTAACTTAGTCTACATGAGATATTGTCATCTACTTGAACTTGATAGTTTTGTTATTTTGATGTCTACAAAGACAAGCACTTTGCTCGCTGAGCAATGGGAGGCTTGGATCCTTACATAACCAATCTGTAGGTGGTATAATTGCAAAATAACCTTCAAAATCAGGTGTGGAAAAACCCAACTTCTAAATGCCTGGCCAAATAAATGAAATACACTCTATCAGGATGCCTCGGGGCCATACATGAATCAGAGAAACACTGTGAGGTGACGGAAAGACAGAGTCACTCGTTAAAACTACTGTCCGTGAAGCTGTGGCAGGCCTCCTTACCCTTTCTGGAGTTGGCCTGTGAGGCTAGAGCTGAGCACTGCATTCAAATAGCACCTTGCGTTGCTCTTGAAAGCACAGAGCAAGGCTCACTGTATTTCTTTAAAATGTGAGTTCCCATCCTTTATCCACAAGCTTCTTCTGCAGTGAAAGGCCTCTAACTTCCCAGCCACAGGCTGTTCTGGGACATTTTATTAAAGACGCAGGAAAAAAAAGATCACAAAGATAGACCAAAAAAAGAATAGATCTCTAGCTAGAAGCATCTATCTACACTTTGGACAGGAAGGACATGGGTGCCACATGATGCTGCTGGTTGGGCTGTGCTGTCTGCACTATGAAGCCACTGGGCAAAAGTCAGAACAAAGTCGTTAGCAAGTCAATTAATTCTCCTGCCTTTCTTATGTACCCAGATAACCTTCAGTGAGTACTCATGGTGCCCAGTATTTTCGAGGTACTTGCAAAAGGCATTTTCAGGACTATATTTCTGGATATATAAGTACCTGGCTTACAAACAGGGACCTGTTATAGACCCCCAACTCATCTTTTCAGTGTGGTCTAGAGAAGTTTTTGTTGGATGCAAACTGATAAGAAAGGTGAAGATAGTGTCACAGCAGTCAGAATAACAATTTCGTGGTAGGCAGGAATGGGAGGAAAATGACCTACTCTGCCTTGTGGCAGAGCTAAAAGAAGTGGAGAGGTTAGGAGCATCAGAGAGTGTGAAAGGGAAATAGGATGGTGGAGCCACTCCCTGATCTGTAGACAGCAAGCTCCACAAGAAGTGGGGGAGTCTCTCTCCTCTGACCATCAGACCAAAGGAGTGGATCTAAGAGATGGGGGGGAATTGAAACAAGTTCCTGCTCAGAGAGGCAGGAAAATCCCTGCCTGGCCTTCCCCACCTGCCCAATTGCTCCTATGGAACGAGCATGGAACTCTGGAACATGAGAGTCAAGAAAATGATGAGATGGACGGAGGTGCACCCATGGGATTGTCTAAGGTGAGTGAGTCATCCCCATACATTAGAACTACTCTGACTAAGAAGAAAAGGAAGGTAATTATTGCAGGCGGTTCCATTCTGAGGGGAACAGAGGGTCCCGTCTACCACCCGAATCCAGCACGCAGGGAAGTCTGTTGCCTCCCTGGAGCCCCAGTTAGGGCCAGTTAGCTCAGTCAGTTGAGTGTGGTGCTAACAATGCCAAGGTTGCGGGTTCATTCCCCGTGTGTTGCCTGATCTAGTCGACAGGTGGCATCCCTGGTGACAGGGAGGCTGGATTAAAATGATCTCTAAGGTCCCTTCCAGCCTAGGCCATTCTATGATTCTGTGATTTTATGATATTACCAGAAAGCTCCCTGGTCTGGTGCATCCCACTGTTTACTATCAGCTGCTGGTTTTGCAAGATGGCAGTGGTAAGATTAAGCAAAGAAGTCTAAAGAGGATAGAAATCTGGGTGCAGTCAAAGACCTACGATCTCATTGCGATTACGGAGACATGGTGGGATAGCTCACATGACAGGAGTGTGGTAATCATAGAATCATAGAATGGCCTAGGCTGGAAGGCAATGAACAATCTGAGTCATGATTACTGAGGCTGACTACAGAGTCGTGGTGGAATAGCTCACATGACTGGAATGTGGTAGTGGATGGCTCTGTGCTTTTCAGGAAAGATAGACTGACAAGGTGTGGTGGACTTGCTTTCTATGTGAGTAAGCAACTAGAATGCATCGAGCTAAAACACAGTGGAAGAGGATGAGAGTGTTGAGAGCTTTTGAGTAAGAATTAAGAGACATGCAAACATGGGAGATATTGTTGTGGGTGTCTACTACAGACCACCTAACTCAAATGGAAGAGGGAAATTTACAGTAAGTGGAAAAAGGGTCTGGTTAATTGAGAGGATTATAGAAATGTGGCCAGAGTATATAGAGAATCAACAAGAAAGTCCAAGGCTCTCTTGGAATTTAGTCTGGCTAGAGAAGCAAAAGAAAAGTAAAAATTCTTCCAATACATCAAGGAGAAAAGGAAGAGTAGGGGAAAAGTAGATCCGCTGCTAAATGAGGCAGGAGATACGATAACAGAGGATGCCGAGATGGCAGAATTGCTGAATGCCTTCTTTGCTTAAGTCTTTACTTCTAAGGCCAGCCCTCAGGAATTCCAGTCCCTGGAAGTAAGGGAGCAAAACTGGATGAGGATGACTCTCCACTGGACAGTGAGGATTTGGTTGAAGAACTATTACAAAAACTGAAACCACACGAACCCATGGGCCCCTGCAGGGTGCATCCATGTGTGCTGAGAGAGCTGGCTGGTGTTGTGGCTGAGCTGCTCTCCATCATCTTTGAAAACTCATGGGGAATGGGAGAGATGCCTGAGGAGTGGAAGAAAGCCAATGTTACTCCAGTCTCCAAAAAGAGCAAGAAGGAGGACCCTGGCAACTATAGGCTGGTCAGTCTCACCTCCATCCCTGGGAAGATGATGGAGTGGCTCATTCTGAAGGCCATCTCTGATCAATTAGAAGCGGGTTATCAGGAGTAGCCAGCAAAGGTGAAATCTTGCCTGACTGATATCTTTCTGTGAAGGCATGACCAAATCAGTAGATGAAAGGAGAGCAGTGGATGTCATATACCTTGACGTCAGTAAGGCTTTTGATACTGTCCCCCATAACATCCTTGTAGGTAAACTCAAGAAATGTGGGATAGATGACTGGACTGTGAGGTGGACTGTGAACTGGCTCAGCAATAGGGTTCAGAGGGTTGTGATCAGTGGCACAGAGTCAAGCTGGAGTTCAGTATCTTCATCAATGACCTGGATGAGGGGATAGAGTGCACCCTCAGCAAGTTTGCTGATATAAACCTGGGAGGGGTGGCTGACACCCGGAAAGGCTGTGCTGCCATCCAACGAGATCTGGACAGGCTGGACTGCTGGGCAAAGGTAAACCTCATGAAGTTCAATAAGGACAAATGTAGAGTCCTGA